AATCATATATGTGACTGAAGCAAATATTCTATATATATGTGTTATCTACTTTTACAGTTGAAAAACTTGCAAGAAGAACTCGCATCGCAAGATGAACAAATTGCAAAACTTCAAAAAGAAAAGAAAGCTCTTCAAGAAGCACATCAACAAACATTGGATGATTTGCAAGGGGAAGAAGACAAAGTCAACAGTCTTACTAAGCAAAAAGCAAAACTTGAACAACAAGTTGATGATGTATGTAAATGCTTAAATTTATTATGCTTTATTGTATTTTCAACTATATTAAGCTTTTTTTTTTCTAGCTTGAAGCCTCTCTCGAACAAGAAAAGAAACTCCGAATGGATCTTGAGAGAACTAAGAGAAAGTTGGAAGGAGATTTGAGACTTACTCAAGAAACAGTCATGGATCTTGAAAATGATAAGCAGAGATTGGAAGAGAAATTGAAGAAGCAAGAATTTGAATACAGTCAACTTGCAACTAAACTTGAAGATGAACAAGCTCTTGTTATGCAACTCCAAAAGAAAATCAAAGAACTTCAGGCTCGCATTGAAGAACTTGAAGAAGAACTCGAAGCTGAACGTGCAGCAAGAGCCAAGGTTGAAAAGCAAAGAGCTGATCTTTCAAGAGAGTTGGAAGAACTAAGCGAACGACTTGAAGAAGCAGGCGGCGCCACTGCTGCTCAGGTAAGTGATAATAGTGATTTAATTCAGAAAGATTAATACAAACATGAACTAATGATGATACTAATTTCCAGGTTGAGCTCAATAAGCGTCGCGAAGCAGAATTCTCGAAACTCCGCCGCGAGTTTGAAGAATCCAATCTTGCTCACGAAGCAACGGTTTCAACATTACGTAAGAAGCATGCTGATTCAAGTTCTGAAATGAGCGAACAAGTCGATAACTTACAAAGAGTCAAACAGAAATTGGAAAAAGAAAAAAGTGAAATGAAAATGGAAATTGATGATCTTTCTGCCAACGTTGAAAGTGTTACAAAGGCTAAGGTGAGTAGAACTTGAGAACGACTTGTACGCATTCATTGATTAGAAATACATATATACCTGGAATCATTTTCTCACATGTATATTTCAGCTCAACTACGAGAAAATGGCGCGCAACCTGGAAGAACAATTTGGTGAATCTAAGGCAAAATGCGACAATTTGACCAAAGAAGTAAACGAACTGAACGCTGCTAAAGCTAGATTTGCGTCTGAAAATGGTAGGTTTGATAGATAGGCATAACAATGCATTGTTTCTAGTAATGCCATATATTCAACGTCTCTGTTATGAACGTGTCCCCAAAAGATTGTATAGAAATAAGCTTTTCAGATTTGCAATCAAATGTCCCATAAATCTCCATAAATTTATATTTTTACCTCACTCAATGATTTTTGTTTTCGTGTGTGTGCAGGTGAACTTTCACGACAACTCGAAGAACGTGAACATTTGATGGCTCAACTTACAAGAACCAAGAACAGTTCATCACAACAAATTGAAGAACTCAAACGAGTCGTTGAAGAAGAAGCTAAAGCAAAAGCTGCTCTTGCACATTCTGTACAAGCTTCAAGACACGATAATGATCTTCTTCGTGAACAATATGAAGAAGAACAAGAAGCAAAGGCTGAACTTCAACGAGCTTTGTCAAAAGCAAACGCCGAAGTTGCGCAATGGCGAAACAAATATGAAACCGACGCTATTCAGAGAACCGAAGAATTAGAGGAGGCAAAGTAAGTAGTCAAATTGAGCGACAAAAAGTTATTATTTGGGGCTTTTGTTGTAAAATGGGTATAAATATATATATATCAACATATATGTTTGTTATTCAGGAAAAAGTTGGCTACTCGTTTACAAGAAGCTGAAGAGCAAGTCGAGGCAACACAAGCAAAATGTGCAAGTCTTGAGAAAACTAAGAATCGTCTCCAAGGAGAATTGGAAGATCTTACAATTGATCTTGAGAGATCTAACTCGGCTGCTGCAGCCTTGGATAAGAAACAAAGAAACTTTGATAAGGTAGATATCTAGATAAGTTCTGATGAAAATAAACTCTGGTGTCATTTATAATATGAATAGTGCATTACGAATGTTGATTTCGTATTTAGATTCTTGCTGAACACAAACAAAAAGAAGAAGAATTGCAAGTCGATTTAGAACAAGCACAAAAGGAAGCCCGTGGCTTGTCAACTGAATTATTCAAGATGAAGAATGCTTATGAAGAATCTCTTGATGCTCTTGAAACTGTCAAGAGAGAAAACAAGAACCTTCAAGAAGAAATTGCTGATCTTACTGATCAACTAGGAGAAGGAGGAAAAAGCATTCATGAACTTGAAAAAGCAAAGAGAACTCTTGAACACGAACGCAACGAAATCCAGGTAAATTGTCTATCTATAGGAAATAATATGACTCAATTTACAATATGACCCTATATGACTCAATTTACAATATGGGAGCATTATTTAACGCTATTTATACTGAACAGGCTGCTCTCGAAGAAGCAGAAGGTGCAATCGAAGGTGAAGAATCAAAAGTACTCCGTCTCCAAGTAGAAATGGCTCAGATAAAGCAAGATTTTGAGAGAAGACTAAGCGAAAAAGAAGAAGAAATTGATAGCCAAAGGTTAGTTCCTTTGACCCTAAATCAGATAAAATAAGAATAATAGGTATGGCAATCATGTTAATTCCATGCTCATATTACAGACGTAACCAACAGAGATCACTTGAATCAATGCAAACTACTCTTGATTCTGAGAGCAAAGCAAGACAAGAAGCAGTTCGTATGAAGAAGAAGATGGAAGGAGATCTCAACGATCTTGAAATTCAACTTGGACATTCTACTCGACAAGCTACTGATTCTCAAAAGGCAGTTAAAGCTGCCCAAGCTCATGTTAAAGTAAGTTCATAATCGGACAATGGCATTTTTTTAATTTTAGTATTCCCATTTGTTATTAAACAAAATTGCTTTTTAGGATTTGGAATTGCAAGTTGATGAAGCTCAACGTCACTCTGAAGATCTGCAAGAACAGTTTGCTGTCATCGATCGTAGAGAAAACTTACTCAAGGCTGAAATCGATGAGTTGAGATCAGCACTTGAACAAGCAGAACGTGGCCGCAAACTTGCAGAAACTGAACTCCTTGAAAGCAGCGAACGATCCAATCTTCTTCATACACAAAACACCGCCCTCATTAACCAAAAACGTAAATTGGAAGGAGAATTGCAAAACATGCAAGGAGAGGTTGAAGAATCGGTTCAAGAACAAAGAAATGCAGAAGAAAAGGCAAAGAAAGCAATCACTGATGTAAGTTTGTGAAAATATATTGTTTTGCTGTTCTTCGATATTTATCTACTGATTTCAATTTGACAAAAATGTTTTTTTAAATTTCCACTTGAACATCATTTCAGGCTGCAACTATGTCTGAAGAACTTAAGAAAGAACAAGATCTTTCATCTCACCTGGAAAGAATGAAGAAGAACATGGAACAAACAGTGAAAGATCTTCAGCAAAGACTTGACGAAGCCGAACAAGTTGCTCTCAAAGGAGGAAAGAAACAAGTTCAAAAACTTGAAACTAGGGTGCGTATGTTGCTACTTATATACGGTACTACTATGTTGTGAATATATTTAATACTCTATAACTAATTAAACTCTCGGTGTTTTTAGGTACGCGAACTTGAAAACGAACTTGACGCCGAACAACGTCGCAATGGTGAATCTGTGAAAAACCAACGTAAATACGAACGTAAGTTGAAGGAAGTGACATACCAGGCAGAAGAAGACAAAAAGAATCTGACCCGCATCCAAGATCTTGTTGACAAACTTCAAATCAAGGTCAAAACATACAAGAGACAAGCTGAAGAAGCCGAGGAACAAGCCAACCAAAACTTATCAAAATATCGTAAACTGCAACACGAATTGGATGATGCTGAAGAAAGAGTGACATGGCAGAATCTGCTCTCAACAAACTCAGATCCAAAGCTCGTGATATGTGAAGCAATGTAAGTTGAAATTTAGATAACCATTAGTTAATACCAAATACGTTTACTCTTTTTAATCACAACCTATTTTTATTCTTTCACCAGAGTATGGAATAAACAACCGATGGATTGCTCAAAGAAATTGCTCGATATCAAAGTGATGTGTCAAATAATAAAGTGTTTTTAATTTTGCATGTTGAATTTGAAATGAACTTACAAAACTGAATAAAATAATCTATACAAAGCAAAATGCTAATTGAAATATGGTGTAAGTTTAGTCTCATATAAGCCATGAAAAGGGTTGAAAGGGGTACGGTGGCATTTTTGAGTGCTGCAGTAACAAAAAGCGGTTGTTGTTTCACTTACAAATTCTTGACCTCTTAGTGAATAATTTTGCTGAGCCCATTTGAGAGCGAATGTGGGGGTTCGCGATCACATTTTACAGTAGCTGCGTTCTAAATGGTCTCCAACGCTTGAAGTGGAATAAAGTTTTCAGTATAGTTGCTTGTACAGGGTTTAGTTACAAGCGACTGCGCGGTTGAAACCCTATGCTACTCAGTAACTTCTTATATATATATATACATATTACAAGGAGAACATTTAAATTAAAACCTTGGGAATATGGACTTGTGTGGGCGCTTCAGTAGTATTCGTGCCAAGATGGCGCACAACCTGCTATCACTAATCTGGTACACATACTATGTTCATGTTGTGCGTTATCTTGGTACGAATACTACGGGAGCACCACATGAATTATTTTTATTTTATCGCGTTTGATAAAATCGGTTATAATAGAAGTTCACCCCTTATAATCTAACTTGTTAAACTTTGGGTACAAAATTTCCCGTCTAGCTCGTCTCATTTTAACTGTTAATGCTAAACCTAATGAACACGTTTGCCAGCGCACCTCCGATTATCCCGCACAGGTTCAAATGCCGCGAGGGATAATTACGCGCTTTCCCACCACTGAGAATAAATATAAAACTCACATCCTGATGCAAACACAAGTAATAACCAGGATAAACATATTCTCAACTAGTGAAAGTTGCAATACAGATTGCAAAAACAGTTCTTCATACTTTCAACTTTACACTGTGTTTCTCCAAACGACCAACATATCTCACCAAAAACGGCCACAAATCGTTGTGTGCATTTTATAAAGCAATTTTGCTGAAAAGTGCGATGAAATAATCTAATCAACAAATACGTAACCAATAAAATAACATGAGATAAAGGAAAAAAAATAGGGGTGAAAACACAACAGAGCCACACAAAATTTAGAACAACATAAAAGGTAAGAGATTGAGCATCAAAGATTACATGCATGCCACTTGAAAACCTGCCCATTTTCAAACTGCTGAAATGACCATGATGTGAGAGTCAGCAACTCAAAATGGAGGGCAGTGCCAGTCTAAAGCAACCTGAGCAAAGCAATACCAATTCTGCATGGAGTATCACATTGAATAAATGTTTTACCGTATTTTTAAAATCTGTAATAGAGAATTTTGTCAAAACTTTCTGCCTCTCCGGTTTAACCAACCAACAATAAAACTATAGAAATAATGTTATATCCATGACAACTTTTTTGATCAAATTGAAAAATGAAGGTGCTATAAATATAATAAAAGAAAGCACTAATAAATAAATATGCAAGATTAGGTGATGTTGCATTTTAATATAAAAGAATGGTGTGTGATCATGGATTTTACAAAAGAGAACTTTTATTTTTGAAAGCAAAAGAACTCCCGAAAGTAAAATATCAACGATTATGAAATTTTTTTCAAACCATAACACAAATAATGAGTGCTACTCTTCGTCATTATCTTCGCTTTCAGAATCTGAATATTCTTCAGTAGTCACTTCTTCTTTACTCTCAAAAAGTTTTCCCTGAACGATTTCGTTTTTGAGCCATTTTCTGAATGCACATACTTGTGCGGGTTCAATGTCAAACGTATTGCCAAACACAACGCATCTTGCGAACATACAAACATAGACTCCACAATCATGTTCATTCTCTTGTCGAGGTAAATCCTGAATAAAAAAGATCAGAAATTTTCTTATTCATTTGTTCATAAAGATTCCTGATTCCATATGTGATTATTCTACTGAATGGTATCATTACATGGTTGTTAGTTAATTGAAGAACACACGCTCTTGTGGGGAAAGATGACAGTTTATAATAGGAGTTTACTCCATTTCCAGTGACTGCAATCCTGGACTAAATATGAATAGTGACTACAAAATTATATTCCCTTATATCTTGCAGTGAAAATGCATTAAGAATGATTCTTCATAAAATAAATTACATTCAGCTTAGAAGATTCAAGCAGTATTTACTAGCAACTGGATTAACATACAATCCATTGGCTTGTAAAACAACAGAAACATGGACTGTTTTTAACCAGGTACATGTTGTCTGACAGGAACTATTCCAAAAAAAGGTTACAAAGGACTTACTTTTCGTATCAAGCATCTACCTTCCTTTCCTTGCTTGTTATTGAAGAAATTGAGCAGCTTCTAAAAATATGTATAAATATCCGCCTTAATATTATATTAAGTTTTTGATGCTCTATTTTAAAATTTTATTGTAAGTAAAACAGCAAAAGATTTGAAAATAAAATATTATCAGTAATCTCAGTTATAGATAAACTATTAGGAAATCATCCATATACTTCATATATATATATTTTAAGAAAAACCACAAATCTTGATGACATAAATAAAAAAATTGCACCACAGATGTCGAAAGATTCAAAACAAAAGGGCGTATGTTGAAATAAATGATTTTTAAGCTAGTTTTATATTAAAGTCTAAAGTAATATTAACCAGAGTATTTCAATGAATAGTTAGTCAATAAATAGAGGACCCAAAAAAACAAAAACTTGTTTTTCTTAAAACAGTTTTTTTTTCAAGTTTTATCTATTTGGGTTCAAGCCCTCCATGTGGCATATACAAAACAGATGTGCTTTTGGTTTGTCAACTCCAGAATATCAAAATTCGAAGCAATGATAGAGTCGGACATACATCAAAAAAATTAGCTTATATAAATTCTATTTGATTTTAATAACAATACTGTCAACTGTGCTATTGTCAAATATTAATATGGAGGTTGGTATGAATTTACAGGAAGGCTTTGTGACTAATAAAAAAGTATAAAGCAGAAAATATTTAGTTTTCCCACTATTTTCACTAAATATATTATAATACTTACAGATGCACATGCCAACACAGTCTTACACACTGATAGTGAGCTATATATAACAACATTGTATTTTTCAGGATAGTAGCAAAGTAAACTCCAATGAAATTCGACACAGGTTGGCGCAAGGATGCATTTCATTTTATCCCAATTGTGAGGAAGGCTTGGCTCTACCCTGCAAATAATGGGAAATTGTAGATGTGAAAAAAACAATGAATGTTTCCCAGAGAATCATATTTCGGAAGCATTGGCTAATAAGCAAGGTATCAAAGTTAAAGGTGACAATTGAAATTTTAGCAAGCCGTCACACACTTTTTTTACTCTGACATATTTTCAGACATGGTTGTATACATTTGCTTGTTTCATGGTTTTGCTGCCTATCTGTCAGTCTTTGATTGTAGTTTGATTAACATAGTTAGCCAAAATCCTAAACACTTATAAGCAGGGCTGCCATCGATATGAACCCACATCAAGAAAACATAATAATAAGATGACAAAGACAAATGTAACAGACAAAATGTATTCATGCCAGTGTGACCCGTGTCTAATCATACTGTGCACAAAAAGGATTTGCACTTGCACTTCTTTATTCTTAGAAACTATCTGTTCCATCTCACTTCTAAGTTCACTTTCACTTAAGCCATGAATGCAGGTAGCAATCAATTTGGTTATAATAACATTTTCTAGCAAAGCGATCATTCAAATTGACCAATCTAATTGCCTGGTATTATAACCTCTACCTCTAAAATAAAACAAAAATAAGGACACAAGTCAAAATAAGGACGTTTCTTAGAAATAAGGACAAAATTTTTTTTTAGACAAACCCTTCAAAATAAGGACAAATATTAGAAATAACGACATTAGCAGCTCTGCTTATAAGATTTGGAAACATTTGACAATTGAAACACGTTTGAAAATTTGAGGCTTGGAATTCACGATTAAACAGTGTTTTGTGGATATATTTCACATATTTAAATAGGCAAGCTTAGATTTAAATATACAACCATAACTTATTAGAAGGATTTACTTAATATACTTTAAATTTACGTAGTCACTGCAAATGGTACCCAGTGAAAGACTTAGCTCATGGTTCCATGAAAAACACTGCTCTTAGGTATACTACATAGGAACATAAATTAAGTATTAACATAGTAACAAATTTACCGTCTTAATAATTCTTCAAGCCAAAAGCTGCTGATTGCACCATAATTCTTATTATTCTGTATCAATATTGACATGTATTGATTTATTATTATATCATTGAGCCAGTTGTCTGAGTACAATGTTATAATATCTGATTTTCTAACACCAGGTCGTATTTCTCGCAACATTTTTTTTCTTGAAATATATTGTTCATTCGATCTCCCAATACAATATTTGATTTCCTGCAACCTGAAAATAAAAACAGAAATAAATTTGTAAATAAGATAGGAATTTCCTATTTATCCCAGGCGAGTGGAAAGGTGACAACTCGTCTCAATCATATGGCGAAGCATGCCGTCCTGTCAGTTAAGGTACCAGTTCATGTCAAGTATGAGTATACATAACCAGATCCACTGACTTGATGATGGAGGAGGTCCTAATTGGCCAGCAGTTACGTGAACCCCCCTACGGTGGTGAGGAGTTCAAGAATCCTCTCACACATACCGTATTTCCTGGCAAATAAGTCGATTATCTAGACCCAAACTTTTGGCCTGATTTTGTGGGGACCGTCTTATTAGGCGAGTATAATAATTTTCATTTTTCCGAATCGGCTTATTATTAAATTCGGAAATACCTTTGGCGATAGCATCCAACTTAACGTCCTCCTCAGGTCAGTTAAAATGAATCGGCATTCACGCGCTGTAAATCTGGATTTTCAACGCTGTGGTTATCACACTTGAAGTTGTCGCATTTGTGTGAGCATCACGCGTGAACGGCTATTACCGATACACATGTTTTGTGCAGCGAGGACGACGATAGTTACTTCATTGTTCACAAACAACCATGGCACTTATGTTGTGAGATACGTGTTATTACCTAATCACGTGTGACATGATGCTAACATGAATGAAGGAGTGAATACGTGACCCAAATCTTCTTGATTGAATGGCGGCATTATAAAATACTAAAATTAAAACAAAGACACCATTTAAGCTTCATTTTAAGATGGCCCGAGACAGATTAAAGATGACTTTTAGACATTGCAAATCGCAAAAACATTTTCCGGATGGGGTGGGTACCAACGGGGCCTTCCGGATGGGTACCAACGGGGCCTGACTCGACTATGATATTTGCATAATACCCTAATTAATGTAAAGTATATTTATTTCATTTTTTGAAATAAATTTAACTCTGTGGGATATTATCGCTGACTTTAGGTTTTTTCTTACGGTAATAGCCTCAAAATAATGAGTGGCAGCATTGCGATAAAGCGGAAGAATTGTTGCAGCAACAGATCAGATATGTTTTTTGATTTGCAAAAATACGAATCAAAACAACATATAATCGTACATGTTTTTTGTACACGGCTTGCATTGGTATTTTGGAGCAGTGGTACTATTTATATTGTCGCAATCGCAGATTAAATTGATCACAATTTAAATCAATAAAGCAACACATTTCGTTTCGTGGAGATTTCGAGATGATGAATATGTATGTTCCATATATACACTTTATAGTTTACATGTATTATTCATTATCGTTAATTAAATTGTACTTTCCGGGATTTTATAGCATATCTTGGGATTTTTATAAAGCGATAATGAATTATCAAGAGTGCAAAAATATGTATCAAAACTAAATATAATCAAGCAGTTTATCTCACATAATTGTGTCCGCAGATTGCGTGTTATTTTAGATCAATAATTTGGTGGACACAAACCCGAGTTACGTTGAACACAATTAGATTAAAATTGAAATGTTCATTCCCATAGTTGTCATGGATTGAATATTACGCTACAAGATAAAGTCATATTGGGCTATTTTAATGAAAGCGCAAACAGCGTCGACCGCTCAGAAGCCCTTTCATGGTAATTTGAGATTCCAATTTTGATGCGATTTTACTGCCCGTCTTATTGGGAGGTTATATGCAAAAACCTAATTTTCAGGCTTAAAAACAGGCCTTGTCTTATTTACCGGGAAATACGGTAATTACCACTGTGGTTTACGAACATTTGGGTAATCAGAAATTCAATGGCATGTGTAATGCAATTCGCCACCCACTGACTCGAATTTAATGTAAATGAAAAGCAAAAATATCATCTAATCTAATGATACCATATGAAACAAGAGAAGCGATGTAAACTGCCAATATTGCTTTCATATAATTAACTGTTTATGGTTCAGAAAATTTACCGACGAATTGTTACCTGTTTGAGAAATCTTTATGATAAAGAGCTTTTAATCGTTGTATTATGTAATGAGGAGTTACTTCATTTCCAGGATTTTCTTCTATAAAATGACTTACCATACCTGAATAATAATTAACTTGATTAAATATCAATTTGTTTTAGTACAAAAATTGAACTTGATAATGTGTAGGCAATTTGAACCAGTAGTAAATATTACAGTAATCCACAACTACTGAGCCTTTAGAACAATATTTCCTAACTAGGAATTAAGGCAGGAATATTATTGGGGAGGAAATTTTACTTGGTATTACATTTTTTTCATTAGATAATATTGTCGCATTATAAACAATTCAAACTGTGCATAAACCCCAGTGCCAGTTGCTTGTATCACTAAATAATGGTCCGCTAAAAACCAGGCAAAGGGAGGAATGTAACAAAAAATGTTGAGAACCACTGATTTAGATTGTCACTGTTCATGTTTGCTTTTGCTTTTTGCATTTATTTGTTTTTATTCAATCCTAATGATAATAATAGCATAAAAAAAATATTACCATCATATTTTCAAAACACTGCTAACTTGTACAAATATCCTGTTTTCCAATAAACCAAAGATTTTCTAGAGCAAAATATTGGTTTATCTTTCCTACAGACAAATGTCAATAAACTTTTGTTGAAAGGAGATGCCAAACAATGAATGTTTCCCTAATTTGACCCCAATATAGAAATAAACAAGGAAGTCGGTGGATTCTCAGGAAACGAAACATCCATTTAATCGAATATTATCACATAAACAATTCTAGAGAATATCTCAATTATTAATAATAATAAAAACATGAGAAAACTCACTGTTTATAATTCTTTTTAAAGTAGGGTAATCAATGTCCTGATTTTCATTGTTTTCGGTTTGAACAACAATTATGTCATCATCATCACTATTTTCATCAACTTCCATATCGGAAGTTTGCATCGCAGAGGTATTAAATGAGTTCGAAGAAATATCCATATTATTCGACGGTGATGGGACTGTTATATCTTTTGCATCAGAAACTGATAAAATATCAATATCAAGTTCCATCATTGCATCATTTTTCTACTATGTTTGAAAACATTAATATTCAATTAATAATAATTAAAAACAAGAGAAAACTTACTGTTTATAATTCTTTTCAAAGTAGGATAATCAATGTCCGGGTTTTCATTGTTTTCGGTTGGGACAACAATTACATCATCATCATCACTTTTGTCATTAACTTCCCTATCAGAAGTTTGCATCGCAGAAGTATATAATGAGTTTGATGATATATTTGACGGTGATGGGACTATAATATCCTCTGCATCAAAGATTGATAAAATTTCAATATTGTGTTTTGTTCCATCGTTGCATTGATTTTCCACTAGTTGCAAAACTTTATTATGTTCGATTTCAGGCGTTGAATGACTAGACGTATTGCAGGAATTATTACATTGTGATTCATCCTGACTTGGCTTTTTTCTCCATTTAGTTTGTTTTTGATTGGGAGAGGCCTGTTTTTTCTAAGTGGTTTTGGTCCAGGTGAACCACTTGGAGATGTCTTGATCTCCTTTACGAATTGCACAGAGTCATCTTCAGTTTCTGTAACAATTAAAAATAAAAATAATTTTTTGGGGAAATCTGTTCAAAGCAAAGTTCTTTCCATCTGACAGGTACACTGACAGTGAACAATACATCATAATATCTGTAAATTAAACACAGCAATACAACATTTCTTAGATGGGATTGGGTGGGATGGGTTTGCAGTTTGCAGAAAAAATATCTGGTATTCCTTTTGAATTCACTCTACCCAAACATGACAGCAAAACTACTTGCAAGGACGTATCAGTGATTTGTACAAGTGAAGTAAGCGTTCACAGGTAAAATATTGGCGAGCACAGTCAAAGACGCAACAACTTTCATTGAGGCATTTCAAGCCACAGATGTTATGTATCCAAAATACAGTATGACACAGTTCTCGCATTCCAAGAATAGCCCCAACATTAAAAGAAATCATTTATAACAGAGATTGCAAATCCCTCCATTACAAGACAGTCTGGGCTATGGTGGCCCATCGTTGTCACGCGTAAAATAGAAAATAAAAAATAGAATAAAAAACCGAAAATAAAAAAATAGTTGTGAAAAAACATAAAAATAATTGAAAAAAAAAAATTAAAATTCAAAAATAAAAACGGAAGAAAATTAAAAAAAAAAAAAAAAAGTGAATGAAAGAAAATAAAAAGGTTGACAACGATGGTCCGCCTCGTGGCCCATCGTTGTCACGCGTTTTTATTTTTAGAAAATTTGCTTCTGCTTGGGACCAACGTTGTCAGGCATAATCATACGCGCACGAATGTGTTCCCTGGGTTTCCAACTCACCACTAATTTTCTTGAGCAATATTCAATATGAAAATGTTCTATAAATTCTTCATGCTACAAGTTTAACAAGAAGTAATATATTTATAATAATAAGAAGAGAATATAGAATTGAATACGAAAATTCGGAAAATTTGTTTTTACGTGTAGAAGGTAATTTAATTGGAGAATGCTGCTTAACTACTCAGTTGTCTGGACACTCGCGATGCCGGTACCGTACCGTCTTACCAAATACCGGTAGTCGGTTATTGTCGCTTTGCGTCTGACCGTACCGGTAGCCATGCAATCACTCATGAAAGAATGGGAGATACGGATAGTCTCGTAGAATATAGACTACTGAAACACTCTCTGCGCCTGCCTCATACCGTACAGCCGTAACGTACCGATCCAGACAAATGATAAATCGCCCGTGCTCACCCATTTATTTCAATCCATACCTCGATCCTAGTAGAATATAGTGAGTCGAGGTATGGATTGAAATAAATGGTTGAGCACGGGCGATTTATCATTTGTCTGGAACGGTACGTTACGGTTTAGGGCAGGCGCAGAGAGTGTTTCAGTAGTCTATATTCTACGAGACTATCCGTATCTCCCATTCTTTCATGAGTGATTGCATGGGTACCGGTACGGTCAGACGGTGCCGTACCGGCATCGCACGAGTGTCCAGACTGGAACGAGTGTCCAGAACTGAGCAGTTAAGCAACATTTTCCAATTAAATTACCTTCTACACGTAAAAACTAATTTTCGTATTCAATTCTATATTCTCTTATCATTATTATAAATATATTGCTTGAACTTGTAGTATGGAGAATTTATAGAACATTTTCATGTTGAATTTATTGGATATTGCTCATGAAAATTAGTAGTGAGTCAGAAACCCAGGAAACACATTTGTGCGTGTAGGATTAAGCCTGACAACGTTGGTCCCAAGCAGCATAAAATTTTCTAAAAATAAAAACGCGTGACAACGATGGGCCACGAGGCGGACCATCGTTGTCAACCTTTTTATTTTTTTTTCATCCATTTTTTTTTTTTAAATTTTTTTTTTTTCAATTATTTTTATGTTTTTTCACAACTATTTTTTTATTTTCGCTTTTCATTTTATTTTTTCATTTTTTTTTAAATTTTACGCGTGACAACGATGGGCCACCATACTGGGCCTCCATATCAGCAAACCGTCACTGCGCAATAAACTAAAAGGAAGCACAATCTAAAAACACCACCATTGGATTCCTTGGAAAAAAGTAATCCAATACTGTATAACAAAATAAAAAATTTTCAACGTAGCATTCGAGAGTTTTGCCAATTTTGGTCACATGATGATCGGCGCCTGTCATGATTAATTTAAATTATTATCGATATAAGCATGGGGCAATGTTACGCATCAGCCGACGTGCCAGACGCCCTCGTTTCAGAGACAGATTGAGGGTTTATTTTATTTTTAGTTGGGACATCTTGGAATAGGAGAACTGTGTCCTACTGAAATAGCCAATAGAAATTTGAATCAAATATTTGCCAGATTTCTTCTGTTGCTAAAATATAATAATTTTGAAAATTGTACCTGATATTCTAATTGTTCTTTGATTCCGACCATTAAAACTTCCATGATGCGATGATGCTTCTCCATTACTAGTAGAAACATTATGATTATTGGTACATTTAGAATCAATTACGTAGTTTTTGAAAATGTTTATTCTTGAATGGAGTGGACGACGTCCCTCTATTTGTTCAGTGAGTAGCTTGCTTGGTGATCCACTGACTGACAGTATTCGAGGCACTTCCTTTTTATTTGCATCACAGCTGGACACAGGAAATATGATATAATCCATTGGTGAAGTGTGGTCATCATCATCGGAGCTTCTGAGAGAATCATGAAAATCATCATTACACTGTTCGAGATTTTCGCTTCCAACCGACTTTCTTGATGACGACTATGTGAATTTTTAGAGTTCCTACTGTACCCATGACGCACCATCGATGGACTTGGCACGAATTTTTTATCTTCAACAAAATTGCTACATCTTTGAGGAACAGATGAATCTTTATCAGACATGTGACTATTTCGCCACAACCTCCTGTACAGCCACGGGAGCTTTCGAAAACTGAAAGCAGAGGACCTACCCCAAATCTTACGTTTCCGGCCACTTGAATTTGACATAGAATAACGATTAGATGGTTTTAAAAAATGAGTCTACAAAGCAGTGAGTTACACAAAAGACAGAAAGATCTGGAACATATATAAAATAAATCAGTTAGAGACAGAAGATGCACACATTGGAGAATGGGCTTTCCACAACCTGACAACTGCACAAGGCAAAATAGTGCAAATACACAATTCAATGGTCAAAACAAAGCAGAAAATAAGCCAGTACAGCTTGACAGCAGTACGATAAAATGTAGGACAGAAAGATCGGGCAAATAAGCAAAAACCTAAGGAAAGGTTTATAACAAGTGCTTGTAACCCATGGCTTTTACCCATCACTGCTTTAACCCACACTCACACAGGTGACAAGCAAAGCATACCTTAGAAAATTTGGTGAACGCAATTGGTAAGATAGATAGATAGATTAGGACAGGGCTGGGCGATTATTTTCGCTATGGGGCCACATTGCAAATTCAAAATAAGTAAAGTCAATCTACATTCAGACATTGCACATTTTTGTAGTATTTTATTACATATTCACGATAGGATAGGATTTACATTCTCATCCCGGGTGAGAGGAAAGCGATAAGACGGCTTATCCATTTGGCGAACCACGGCCTCTCGTCTGGTTACCATTCCATGTCGGGTATGGGATCAGTTGGTTACTTGTTTTTCGGAGGCATGGACTTGATGGTGGAGGAAGTCGTAACCGACCAGCGGTTACGTGAACCACCCTACGGCGGCGAGGAATCCAGCAATCCTCTCGCACATAACCATCCTGCATGGGATTCGAACCTGCGAACCCACGCAGAGTAATTAGAGGTGCAGTGGGGAGCGTATTCCTAACGCTTAGCACGATGAGCCACACCACCGCGCAAATAAACAAAGCATAATACAAATGTGACTTGTACTGAGATGAGTCTGAGTGTATTCTTTTCTGCGCTTTGACCGTAACTTTAACAATTCCTTGAAAGTCAGTCTGGGCAGCGCAGAGCTGACTAGCCTAACGATATCCCGCTGTGTTAGCACACGACTTAAAGCGCAACTTATTTGGGTCTAGTGTAATGTATATACCGGTATGCAGTATATGTATGTTTATTTGCCTCAAAAATATAACAGTATCTGCATAATAATTAAACAGTAAAACAGAGACGGGAATACATGTTCAAGACCTTACTGGCCTAAGACACAGATGTGCGACATGTACCCCCACTAACAATTATAACAGCAGTTTAGGACTACTGCGTTATAATAGGACAACAGACATGAAAGAGGCAATACAAATAAAACTCTAGTAAAATACACAAGACAAGGAGATACCGTGGACGACACAACGACGATATGTACATTGTACCGTACCACGAGTTTACTTCTAGTGGGCTTGGCATAACCATTTTTGCATATGTTATGCCTAACCCCTACCTGACTAAGTCATCCAAAAATTACGTCACAATCACATCATATACAGATATACCATAGCTTGCCAAAGTATACAGGTACCGGTATAGCTACGATCGCCCGAAATGGAATCTGCGCCGACGATAACGAACTCGTAGAAATAGCTTGCTCGACTTCGGTTAATTGTCTGCGCGTTTTGGACGACCATCCGTATATTTCAGCTTCCTTCATTACGTCACTGTGACGTTGTAGTGATGCAATGTTTGAAGGTCGTAGTCAGGTGAAGGTTAGAAATGACATATGAAAAAAAATTTGCGCCATGCCCACTAGAAATGATTGTGGTACGAAACTACACGAGTACCGTATAAGGGCTGACGGACAACTCACCAGAGACAACTCGACTACCTAGAGGCCTGGTGAGTTGTCCGTCTTTTGGCATTTTGTACGGTGGTGATTTAGGTGGGAGGCGGACAACTCGACTACACGGACAACTCACCAGAGACAACTCGACTACCTAGAGGCCTGGTGAGTTGTCCGTCTTTTGGCATTTTCTACGGTGGTGTTTTAAGTCTATAGAAATGCGTTTTTGATATTTTTAGTGCTCAAATGTTGAGAAAAATAAATAAATTTGCTCTAGAAAGCATTTTTATTTGTATAAGTGGCTTATTTTGATCATGATGTATGAATACAAATACAGTCTACAGACAGAATTGGAGTAACGTTAGCGAAGTTAGACTGTTGACTTATAGGACTGTGTTCGTTTAATTTTTTGAACTTTATTGGTATTAAATGTTTTGAATGAGCACCTTTAAATATATTAAAACCTTTATACTTCACAGTAACACTTAAATATTTATGAATGTGAGCACAGTAGTCTATGGTTGCAGTAGTCTAAACTCGCCTACGGCAGTCGCCCGACAGGCCGTCAACTCACCAGTCGAGCAAACGCTCTGCGACGTGATGTCATCGATGCTCGAGGTGAAGACAACTCGACTACCGAGCAACGAGAGGCAGACAACTCACCAGTCGAGCAATCGCTCTGCGATATCGATGCTCGAGGAGAAGACATTGCTTTGCAAAACGCAGACTCAAGAGTTGCATAGCATTCACTTAGTGCCGACTGATATTAGTTGTATGCCAACTCACCACGGCAAGGTTTCAGTCATAGAGTTGCAATTTCTTTTTGCAGAAGAAAACCAGGAACAGATAGGCACTGTCGCTGCGCCTGGCAAAGAAACTGGGCCAAAGTATGGATAAATGATGTTTACTTTTTGTTACGATTAATGAATTTAATATGATATTTGAATACTAAACGTTATGGGGAAATTTAATGGATGGAAGGTGTTGTTTTCTTTTTCGTTACGAATAATGAATTTTATTTGAATACTAAACGTCATGGGAAATTTGCTGCATTACATACTTACTCTTTGCAATACTACGGCCCGTAGATCCTTGAACACCTCTGTAGAAGAGAGTCCACAGATAACTCTCCTTCCTTAAACTGTTCCCAGACACGTTGCACCCTCTCGTTGGCTTCCGCATACCTGCCGTTGACACGCCCCACAACATTCTCTTCTAAAATCTCCACAACGTCCGCCTCTATCCTAATACTTACCTCGTACATTGTTGAGATTAAACTGTAAAAAGGCATACTTTTCCGAGTTATACTGTTAAAATGGCGGTGCCAACCTTCCAGATGATTGTTGATTCTTATTTCTACGTCGAATACAGACCAATCATTGGGAGTCCAGACACTGTTGTATAGCTTGTGTTTTGAAAATATTCGGCAAAGTTCTTGAGTTTGTGTAATGAATGAGAAATATAGTACCTTGATATAAGGCTCAATAGTTAAATGAATAAAGTTGAAAGAATTAACACACTACATCTACAGCACAGCAATGATTGGTGTCTGATTTAAAACGCCACAGCAATCATCGCTTGACTGCAGCTGTATAAACAAATAGATACATTGAGTTGCATTTCCAAGTTATCACATTCACCGCCACCTCAGAGATTTAGTCTGTCCACGGATCGGCGTTCCCTGCTTGATCTCCTTAGAACTGGAGGCGATGGAGATCTAGAGACAATATTATTTTCAACAATATCTTCTTGCGTTTGAGTTTTATTGTTTCCTTGATTGATAGATGGAGACATAGGTTGAATCGAAGACTCGTCTCTAACGTGCAATGGTGTTTCATGGTTGATATTGTCTGTCCCTTGCCTATTCATCGAAATTTCGTAACCGACAGGGGCCAGATGTTTTGAGGCTACAGTTGTTTCTCTGCCATCTGGAAATCGAACATGAGCATATTGTGGATTTGCTTCCAGAAGCTCGACTTCATCTACTAAAGGTTCGGTTTTCGACTTCCTGACATATCTTTTCAAAAGCACTGGTCCCGGCGTTGACATCCAGGATGGAATAGAACATCCAGACGTAGATCTTCTGGAGAATTTGAAAACTCGCTCATGAGGAGTCTCATTGGTGGCTGTACACAATAACGACCGTATGGAATGCAAAACATCAGGCAAAACCTCTGCCACAATTGAACAGGAAGACGTTTCGATTTCAGCGCCAACTTCACCCCATTCCATATCGTGCCATTAAAAACGTTCAACCTGTCCATTTCCTGCAGGATTATATGGTGTGGTGCGACTTGTTGCAATACCTTTGTCATTGAGAAAAGAGCGAAGTTCTCGACTCATGAAAGCAGAACCTCTGTCTGAATGTATAAAAGCAGGCATTCCAAATGTAGTGAATAGTTGCGTGAGACATTTAATGACACTTGCTGTGGAAACATCTGGACATGGGAATGCAAACGGAAATCTCGAAAATTCATCGACTACGCACAGAAAGTATCGATTATTATTGTTTGACGGTAGAGGTCCTTTAAAGTCTATATTGAGACGTTCAAATGCCTGTGTAGCTTTGATAAGGTGCCCGGTGTCAGGTTTATGAAATCGCGGCTTGCATTCACAACAAACAGGACATGTTGAAATAACTTTTCGAATGTCATCCATCGAATATGGCAAATTCCTGACTCGAATAAAGTGAGACATTCTCGTAATTCCTGGTGACACAGAGCGTCATGAAGTTTATACAAAAGATGATTTTCGGGATCTTGTACAGTTGCGCACGATATTCTTGAAAGTGCATCAGAGGGAATATTTTCTTGCCCAGGACGATAACGAATGTCAAAACTATAGCAGCAGAGTTCTAGTCGCCATCGCATGATTTTATCATTTTTAATCTTTGTTCTGTGATTTCGATTGAACATAAATGATACGGATCTCTGATCTGTTATAAGAGTGAAATGTTTACAAGTGAGATAGTGACGCCAATGACGAACAGCCTCAATGATGGCCTTTGCTTCCTTCTCTATTGAAGGGTGTTTGAGTTCTGGACCTTGTAGCATGCGAGAGAAAAAAGCCACTGGTCTCCCACCTTGGTTTAGGGTTGCAGCCAATGCTACATCAGAGGCATCTGTTTCTACTTCAAAAGGTAAAGTTTCATCCACAGCTATAACGACAGCAGATTCTACGAGTCGCTTCAATTCGTGAAACGCATGAATTGCCTGGTCGTCGAGAGGGAAAGTTTTCGCAGATGCTAGTGGTCTGATAGTATCAGAAAACTTTGGTATCCACTTTGAGTAGTACGAGAAAAACCCAAGACAACGCTTTAAAGCGGAAACTGAGGTAGGAATCGGCAA